GTGTGTGTGTGTGTGTGTGTGTGTGTGTGTGTATATATATATACAGCAGCTTTTTCTGGTTTACTATACTCGTAAAAAAATACTGGTCATAAGCTTGAAAATGGACAAACCTGCAGAGATTGTGCTCGCGCAGGCGGTATTGCGGAGGGCGGTGTTTCAGCCATAGTTTAACGAATTTGGTATATATTAGTTTCCTTTGCTACATAGAAACAAACACACCCTACTCTGAATATCCCGCTTACAATTCTCTCCCTATATATAGTATAAAATTAAATACACCGGTGCGACGATTTTTTTTTGAAAAGTCCAAAATTTGAAGTCATATTTGCATGCACTCAATATTGTTTATTTACACTCTGAACCGGTGACTGGGGAGAGGCCGAGACTCGAGAGGGAGAGGAGAGTGAAGACTTCCTCATCGTAAAGATTTTACTGTGGATGAATCATTTAAAATCGGATGAAGCCTATAAATAACCCTACTTTTTGCCTACTGGCTAGTGGCGACTGTACGAAGTGTCACATGAAGAGTCAGGAGGGCCGTGAGGGACCGAGAGTGAGAGACTGAGAGGCCGCCGGCGTAAACGTAAAACATATTTACTACGTTGGCGTTTTCGATATGAAACACGTATTTATTTATGAAGTCTGGAGAGTGGAGAGTGGAGAGGTGTGAGGCCGTTGACTGTGAGACTTGAGTGCCTGTGGGACATTCACGATTTCACGATGACGTAAAGACAAACAATTTGTTTTTCACACGAAGTAAAAAAACAATATATAGATACATTCATGTATGTCTGTACTGTATTTATGTACAGACATCCTATTTTCACATACATATAAGGTTCGAAACGCGCTAAATTTGTACATCATTACCTTTTTGGCGGTCTGTCGCGGACTTTTTTTTATAGAAAATACAGTACTAGCAGCTATTTAAAAAAGTCGCATCTATCATCCAGAGACAGCTAAATATTAAATAAATATCGTCAATCGTGTGTTCAACATTAATATGTGAATATGTAGAGTATCCTGTGCATGCTCTTAATAGTATTTATGAATACATAGGCAGGTTGCACACGTAAGTATGCCTAGCATTCACAACCAAGGTGTCATATATGAGTGCAAGCCAGCTATGATGTCCATCTACCCTTTCCGCGAGAAGCGCTCCCACATGCTTCTAATAGGTTAATTTGAGTAGACTCTCGTGTCTACACACGTTTGTACTTAACCATGTACGGCATCATTGAGCCTCGTGTACGTCTGGAGGTGATGAACAAGTATCAGATCCTATTTATTCTGGTGGTCACATACATTGCGGTGGTTCTGGCGTCTCTGTCGGTTGTGTATGAGATACGCTTGGGCACTGCCGAGATACCCCAAAGTGGCGAATCGTGCAACAGCAGCCAAATAAGTGCACGTCAACTAGGATTAACTTCATTGATTAGTGATCGTTCAAACAAGAAGGCAATCCGGAAGGATGCATATGTAGGTGCTGATAGTCCCCGCACGCGACATGGAGATATCTCTTCATATGTGCAAAATGGTGGTGCTTTGATGCGCGGTACGTATAACTATAATTTAGTACGAAACATGCCAGAAACCCCTACTCATTCTCGTGGTCTCGAAAGCAGGCTCATACGTACACCAAGAACATTAACACGAACGCGAGATGCGTTTGAGCATACCGCCTTAGGTAGCAGTGGTGTATATAACAACAGACAGGCACATAAGTATCAGTTGCCCAGTGATGAAACACCCGAGATTATCAGCGAAGGGGATGCAGCTGGCACTGTACAGGAGCCTACGTCAGATGATGAAGATATGGTAGAAATGATTATCAGTGAAGATAGTGGCGAGAACGAAGACTTCAAGCCATGCACGGTATGTTCAATGGACTGAATTGCACTATAGATATGAGAGTTGAATCTATGTAGTGTCACATTTGAATTGGTTTTCGGGAATTGCAGTCTGGCACAGTAAGCTGGTCGATTCCCCACCCTTACATATGATCTCTCATCGGTGTAGGCACTTGTAAGATCCATGCAAGTCTCGTATATTGCGATGTAGCAGGCTGACTTAATGGCATGTCAATAAGCACCACGCGTTTGTTTTGCCAGTGTGCTACTACTGACGAATGTTGGTGAACGCAAGATCAAAATGTATTCAAATAACTTTCACCTCTGGTATATGAATAAGTCGTACTTGAGGGATCGTTAACACTCTTGGGTCGGCTGCCTAGAGTATCACATTAATATTTGTATAGGATACATTGTAGTAGTAGCCGTAGTCAAAAAAGTATCATTTTCTTATCAATTTGCTCCGGTTGATACTTCAGTGAGTTCGATATCAGTCAAGCACTTCTAGTATATATATATATATATATATATGTAGTGTGTGTGTGTGTGTGTGTGTGTGTGTGTGTGTGTGTGTGTGTATATATATATAACGCAATCATATTAGAATTTTGCGTCTATGTCGCCTGTAGCTCATATAGGCGTTTGATACTAGCGTAATAACACATATGAACCATACAAGTTGCACAAATTGATACGATTTCGTACTAGTCCACTTGTCTTCTGGAAAAGAATATACATACACATTTATGTATACACGCACATAAACGCAAGCGTGTATTCTCTATTTTATCATACACGTGGAAAAGTGAACTAATATATATCACAATATACACACACTTGAGAAGAACACACCTGTTGTTGATAAGCTTCCTAGTAAGTGTTGTATCTACACTCAGTATAAGTGTCGGTCGTCTTCTCGGCAAAGAGACTGTTCGTTTCAGTGTGTGTCTGCGGGGCCAGTATAATACGCTATATGCCTTGCATATAGTTCCGGTATAGGATATGCTGAATAGTGCACACGTTTTGGTCGATATACGTAGCATGTTTGATAACCTTTGTCTGCACGTCGATTATATTTATCTTAGGTAGCACTAGCCTGATACATATCTAGTTTTGGACAAGCGCTTTAGTAAGTAGGATTCGCATAAATCTGTCCGTATTGTTGATAAGCTGTGTATTATTAGGTATTTAAAAGTCATCAGCCAAACAAATCAAACACCCAGTGGTGTCCTGTGGCCTCCAGCTCCTCACAGAGACACAGACTCGCAGTCTCTCGACCTGTGGAAACTGGGTAGATCTCTACTATAGAGACATCGTATTTATATCACAAAGGGCCATTGTTTCTGCGTGTTGTATTTTATTTTTGTCATCATCATCGTATTTTGACCGTTTGACCATCATCACAAAAACAATGTGTCAAAGGTTGTGCGCCTGTGCGCCTGTGCGCCTGTGCGCCTGTGCGCAGCGCTCTGATGAAGAAGAGAAGGAGGGTTTTTTTTAAATATGTAATCAGGTTTTTTCTTGTCATGGCTAAAATTGAATATTTATTTAGAAGGGTATTTATGTTCTCGCTTGGAGAACTATGTTTGGAATGCTATTACGCTTATAATCACAAACATAGTTTTCACATATAATTGAAAGTTTAATGAAAGTCAAAAATGAATTCTGGGGTTTGTTTTCTATTGTTTTTAAAAAAAGAAAAAGAAACAAAAATTTACATATTTACATAAATTTTATATCTATTTAAAACAAAATACACAAACTCAAAGCTCATCAAATAAATAAAGCATTATATTTGTTTTGAAAAACAAACATCATTATAATTTATATGTAGCTCACTAAAGTATTCATGGCCCATTTATTTTAAATTTGTCGCTGGAAGGATAAAAAATGCAGGTGTTATGTGCGTGACGTCAGACAGGTTTTTTGACCCATGGTTTCTTGGAGGAGCAGTAAACCTGATGTCAGCTGTCAAAAAGGAAATGACGAACATGTCAAGAATGCGTTGTCAACCAAGACTGCAGCATGGTGATTTCAGTGCTGCAGGAGTAACTAATTCAGGAATAGGAAGATACTATTGGATAGATTTCTATTGAAGATCTTACTGGATAGGACCGATGTAGGGGAGGCTACAAATAATGTAAGCTTAGAATTATATCAATTCTGATTGAAGGTGAACAACTCGACGAACAAGGAAGCAATTATGCAACGCTTCCGACCGAATGAGTATGAGTATAAATAGAGCTATCACTAGGTGTGAGAGAGCAAGCAAGGTTAACATCTAGTTTGCTAAACAAATGTTTAAAGAAGGTTTTTCAGTTTGAGTAATAGGAAACATACAGTATCCACGATGTGAAACCATTACGCTTCTGGTATATCCGCTGTATCGAAGCTCAAAAGAACAGATGTACGTCATGGCAATATTCTATCATCTGCGTCTATTCAAGACGCTTTTCTCTCTGACCCCGACTTAAAGCAGCCCAAGATCGGTCTCGTTCGTTTCTTGTCACAAATAATTGCACAAGTATCAAATCCCCCCCCTCTCCGCTATTAAAGTACAAAGGCCTTCCTCACAATTTTATTGCCTGACACTCAACAGGACCTGACCCCATAAATGATTTATTTTTGTTATCTTCTAAAAGAAATAGAAGTCATCAAATGATCAAGGGACCAGGAGTCAACGACACATGCACCCTTGATCCAGCCACTAGCCAACACCTTTAAAAAAAGTAAAACACGAGAGGTCTCCCAGCTCAACGCCTCAACCACTCACACAAGAGGGCTCTCAGCTCAACGTCTCAACCACTCACACAAGAGGGAGTCATAGAAGGCTGCAAGCTTTCAGATTCGTCTCTAGATTTTTTATAGTTTTCGAAAAAGCAGAACAACGAAACAAAATAATTTACATATTGTGCCCCTGAAAGCTGAAGCCTGAATTTCAGAATTTGTTCAGTGTGAAGGCTCATGAATACATTTTGTTTATATTAGATGAAGAGATAAAAAGATAAAAACATAGCCGGCTAAATATGTAAAAAAAAGGCACAGCTCGTTATTTTGAACAAAACCATATTACATAGATAATGATAAAGCATCTTGTACACTTTTATTACTTTGATTTGATTCGATAATTGAAAATGACTATACATCAAACCAGTTACCAGATACATAGTTTTAGTCGAAATGGAAATTCAAAATCCACATTTGGATTTGGGAACTGATTTATTTTTAAAAACAATCATAAAGCATTTTATACCTTTCATACATTTTTTTATTAACAAAATGGACTCTACAATTTTTTTAATCAAAATTGTACTACAAGTACCACTGTGACAGTGAGTCCTGAGTCCCTGACCACTGTGAAGTTCTGCTGTGAACCCTAACCACTGTGAAACCTATCCACGGTGAAGTGTGAACCCTGACCAATGTGAACCCTGACCAGTCACCACCAGAGGACCTCTTGACAAAATGTCAAGCACTGTTATAGTGTCACTGTCAATAGTCTGTAGACAGTAGTGTAGAACTGTAGTCTGTAGTGAGTGTAGACTGTACAGTGAGTGTGTAAATAGGCTGTAGACTGTTAGCCTGAATATTATACTTGCGAATATGCTATAAACGTTTAACGTAAACGTAAAAAAAATTAGTTCTTTATGCGTTGTCTG